GGCGCTATATCACATCTAGTAACTTATTTGCGACGGTCGCTGTCGTCCCGCGTAGCTCAGTGGTCTCAACCAAAGACTGGCAACAGTCGAGTTGGGAGTTCGAGCCCTACCAGGGTTCGATGGAATGCGCAATGCTGGCGATTCCCGAAAGGAGGAAACACGCGTACAGCGCTTTTTCGGGCGTATGACGGCTATCTGAATAAGTCTATATGTAAAAATTTGCTACCCATACCATGCTACTCCCCCTACTAGTCTTCTGTAAATCGGAATGTGTCTATCACTTGCAAGGAAGTATCCAACACTTACAAAATTGCATGAGTGTAAACAATCATGACACTGATCGTAAATAGAACAGCAGATACGTAAAACAATAAATGTTAACGTTGAAGGTGCGTGCGTTGGTAATTCCTTGAAAGATGAACATAGTGCTCAGCCAAATTTGAATGCCCCATTATTACCCAATTGCAAACAGTGAGGTCCCCAAATGGTGAAAATGGCATTTCAATCTAAACTGATGGTAGAAAGTGCGATCGAATTGGGACAAAAGTTGCGTAAAATGCTTCCATCAGTAATACCTACAAAGACCATAAGCATCCGGTTAAAAAGAAACAAGGTATCATTGCGTAATCAGCGCACCTGTACAACCCTGTCACCATGTAACTAAGAACAGGAATAGTGTCAAAACATGCCTGCAATTGAACGGAGACATGGAAGACATCCTCTTGCGGGCACTGAGTGCTCCATACAACAGCCCGGAATGTCCCGAGGGCCTGCGTCGGTGGTCCTACTAAAAGAGCGACCGGCAGCCGACCCCCAAGGGTCGGCAAAACCTTTCACCGGAAATCAGAATTCACTAAAACTCTTCTAACCACCGTTACCATCACCTACTTGTATACCAATGCATAAGGTCTTCCCAGCAAGCCAACCGAATTTCGTATTCGTCAGGTCTGTACGCCTTGGGACATGGTTATGGTCAGGGAAACATGGTTGAACATGGAGACCTCTCATGCTGTGGTAGCTCTACTCGGTAGGACTCCATTACAAAACGATCGACTCAGTAACGGAGACTGAATACCCTGGTATTACCAATCCGACCTGCCTGCTGACATGTTCAATGACCCGGAAACGCAAGTTATCGTTTATCTTTGGTGTCGCATGCGCCTAAGACGTGGTGATGTGTGTTTCCTAGCAATAACTTAGCGCCCTCAAATGTCCACCCAGTAAATGGATCACCGCCTAGCTACTGCACTGAAGCGCATCCTGGCACTATCACACAGTCACGTCCTTCTAGTGGGGGACTTCCACCCGAACGAAATCAGTCCCGGTTTCCGTGAAAACACTCATTACACTAGAACCTCTCACTGTTCACCTTATCCGTGTACTCGTGCTCAACTGATGATGACGGTGCTAGTGAATTTTCTCGTCTACTGATCGCGCGTAACCTGCTGGCTGTCATGCCATGGTATGCTCGGAAAACAAGTTTTGGATGTTTACGCAATTGCTTCGCTTCGTCTAGACTCTGAGAGTATTGTCTCGTGCATAGATTTTAACAAGTAGATACAGAATATCACTAGAAAATTTCACTGGGGTAGTATATGGTCATGCAGGTCTTCAACCTACACAAAATATCTGAATAGATTAAACGTAATTTTTAACCTATCACACTGCGAATAAGGTTGGATAAGCGCTGAATATTGGCGAAAATACCACTGATGCAAAAGTGACGGCCGTTGTACATTCAACGAAAGATTCACAATGCAACCACCATATGATGTATGTATGTATGTATTCTCAACAGTCTATTAACTAGACACAGAGCAAGTATAAAACCATGGAGATCAACAGATAAGCAAGTTTCAACGCGTCATAATCATCTTGGCATGCTAGTTGAAGGTGAGCAACACACTTCAACTAATATGCCACAGGAAGAATGGAACATTTTGATAAAAGTAGAACAAAAAATATTTTGGTGGTTTTTCACACGCCGCTTTTGTTCTTTTTTCGTCATTTTAATGTTTGTAGTATTAATCATGTGAATCAACACAATACTCTACACAAGTCTTCCACTGATTCCGGTTACGGGCCATATCTTCAAGAGTGCTAAGCCATTGGCACTCCTCATCTTTGGGTCTCCATCCTGGAAGATGTACGGATCTAACAGCGGCTAGACAGGGCGTCACCGATTTCATGTGCTGCCGCCAAGTGGAAAGCTGACCACCACGCGGTCGCTTCCAGCCAGGTCCTTGACGAGCAAATAGAGCGCGACGCGGTAGACGCTCAGGTGCCATGAGAAGGACGTGACCGAGCCATCTCAACTGGCGCAACAAAACCTGTTTGTTGAAGGGAATACTCGCTTTCCCCAAGATGCGACGTCGAACGTCATTACTATTTACTCGATGTTGCCACCAAACACGAGCGATCCTCCTTAAGCAACCGTTATCGAAGGCAGAAAGACGACGCATGTCTTCCACGCAAATCGGCCTGGACTCGCACCCATACAACAATATTGAGCGAACTGATGCGCTGTAGACGCGGCCCTTTAGTGAGAATGAGACGTCGCGACGACGCCACAATTGTCTCAAATTGACAAATGCTGATCGAGCTTTAGCGATACGAAGAGAAACTTCTTTGTTGATAGTGTCGTCAGCAGAAACACAGCTCCCGAGGTAGACGAAACTATCTACCTGTTCAAGTTGTGCACCTTCAAGAGTGAGTACGGGAGCAGGTGAAAGCCAATCCTTGAGCAGAGAAAGCCAATCCTTGAGCAGCATATGATGTGACAGCTGAGTGCAACATAGTCAGAATCAAACGTTTGGTACTTTGCGCTATTTCTTAGAACTAGACTAACAAGTGCTAGAACTAATTGAGTAAGGCATCAGCAGTACGCCGGCAGATCGTACCAACGCGTCGCTACTGCGCCGGTGGCCGAGTAGTCTACGAGCCTGCTTTGCAGCCATAAGGTCACAGGTTCGAATCCGCATTGGTGTGGGCGTCCTCAAAGTATACTTAGCCCGCGCGCGACTGGTGGTGGTCGCGCGGCATCGAAGAGCTGCTAAGACGTACAACTGACATATTGTTGTTTTTATTTCTATTGTGCAGCTTTCGTAAATTGCGCGCTGACTTAGTATACTGCGAAATCGTCCGCGCCTACACTTGTTCGAACCGGCAACCGCGGGATTACGTGTTAAGCGCAATCCTTTCGGATACCGACTGGAATGAGTCTCCTGACTTATCTGTTCTGTGAATGGTGTAACACGCGCAAAGAACAACGGATCCAGCTGACAGCCTCAGCGTGCCTGGTTTCAGTCGCAGTCATGCTATACCTACCTGAAAGGTGCAGACAAATGCAACTGGATGCCAATCGTTTTGGGCTATGCTTTGCCCCATCGGAATGCAAAGTTCTTCTCCAAGATTGGCAGTAACCCACCCCCGCACTGCTGCTTCGTGGTGATCAGCTCGAAAGCGTTCAGTACTTCAAGTACCTAGGCAGCTATATTAGCACCCGTGGGATCGTAGATGAGGTTACGAATGGTGCCGATCTCTACCACCCGTTGCGCAGACCCGAAATAAGTAGCGCCCCGAAGTGCAGAATTTATAATGCAGCCGTCCGTTCAACCTCATAAACGGATGTGAATTCTGGCCCATCAGGTCGACAGACATAAAGAGGTTGGTCACTTTCAACCATCACTGCCTTCGCGGCCTAGCTCACGTCCGCTGGGAGCACTGCCTGAGCAATGCGTGTGTTCGGCGTCGCTTAGTTGATGCAGGAAGAGCGAGTGAACCGCTCAGCACCATTACATAACTCACCAGACACTGATGGCTGCACCACGTGTTGCGCATGCCAGCCCACCGACGCCCGTGGCGCTCACTGTTTTCGCGGTTGGAAGAGAAGGAGCAGAGCCCATGCGATTACTTAGTCGAGAGAAATGAAAACCCTCAAGTCGCAACTGGTCTCGGTTAGTGCATCCCGACTGCCTGGCTGGGTCCTAAGAACAATGAACACGTGTGGTTGGAGACATTTGCTGATATGTTGAAGAGCCGACCACAATGGCACTTGCGTTGTGAGTTTCTTTGTCTATACCCTTCCCGGGTGGATTACCCTCCAGCTTCGTTCTCATTCGAATGCTTTATATATTTAATTTACATCCATAGTGTTTGAACTAACGGTGGTGTAATTTTCTAGTATTTTCTAGTTTTGTATTGCTGCACATTAACCAACTAGTGTTCCGCACTCTCAGCTAACTTGTATTGAGGATGATGATGTTGTTGTTGTTGTGGTTGTTGTTGTTGCTACCGCTGCTGCTGCTGCTGCTGCTGATGATGATGATGATGATGATGATGGTGGTGGTGGTGCTGCTGCTGCTGATGATGGTGATGATGATGATGATGGTGATGATGATGATGATGGTGATGATGATGATGATGATGATGACGATGATGATGATGATGATGATGATGATGATGATGATGATGATGATGACGACGACGACGATGAAGATGCTGAGGAGTGCAAGTGGAGAATGATGTTGTGATCGTGTCGTAGATATAAGGTGATGGAACTTCGAATATAGGATGGTTTAGTTAGAAGGCGGCCTTTTACTTATCGCACACAGGTTTCTCAAGGTCTGATTACTTGGTTACCATGAACACGCTCACTAATGAGACAGTAGAGGACCACCCAAGCTTTAGTACACAGTGGCTACCTTTGGTGATCATGACTCAACATCAAGCGGCTTTTGGGACTCAGAGGTCGTTGGGACAGCTGTAACCGCTTCCAGACGAGTCACACATGATCGTCATATACCGAAAAATTGAAGAAACTTCCATCTCAATCGCAGGTGCTATCTTGTGCTATTATTCGACGTACACAGTGACCGTAAACTGTCACTAAGTTTACAAGCCTTGCGAAACAGACTTCTGATTTCCTTGGAGATCAAGTAATCGTACTTCTCATCTGGCATCCTGTATCTTCCAGTTTGTTTGTTCTCTTTACCATTAAGGCCACAAGCCCGGATGAGGAGCTATCCCCCGTACTGCGGAAGCTTGGCACGATCGCCAGTGGCTTCGACAAAGTTCTCGAAAGAATTGATCGCTTAGAAGTGAGTCGGTTTGCACTGTATGTTGAATTGCAATTTTTATGGACTATTGCCAGAACAGAATGAAGGTATCGAAATCCGAAACTGCTTGCGTATAGATAAACAGCATGGCTGCTCCATCTTGTATCGTACGAGACATTTTATTTCATTCTAACGTGTTAAGACAGGTTCAGCTTTTTTGTGAATTTAAAAGTGCAACGGTCTTATTAAACCCCCCAACGGCCTGAATAAGGGGGTAACTTTCCTATGAAATTAAGTTGCCGTCGTTTACAGCAAGAAAGCAGTCGTATGCTCAGAGTCAGTTGGTGTGAAACAAACAAACTCCAAACAACCAAAGAATTAAAGTTTTCTATTAGTTATAAGACACTAGTAACATATGCCCTCCTTAGGTTTGCGGCAGTCAGTTCATGCAGGGGGACGGCTTATTACTCAAAGTTCCAATCATGCTATTGCAGAAACGTATAAGCTCCAGCTTCCATCATCCCTGTGTTGCCAAAACATTATTGCGTACATGGTTTCTATTGGCTACCGGTTTTGTTGTTTTGCATAACCATATTATTTTCCCTCATACATTCTGAAAGAACTCATCAGGTAAATTGGCCTCTCAGAACATGGCTGTCATCAGATTTAGGCTGATAAAACTTTCTCGTTCAGTGCGGATGTTCTCGCGTTTATACAGTTCTTGATCGTGGTTGGTAGGTTATCACACAGGACGGCATCTACAGTTCGGAAAATGTTTTGGGAAACAGCTGTCCTGATCCTCTGCACAGCTACTAAACAATACTTGATGCTAAGTCTCTACCCGAAACTGTACTGCAATTCAAATGTAGAGAGAAGTCACAGGTTGCGATATGCCAACTTTTCGACTGCTCTCACCGGTCGCAAATATAACACGACCGGAACACACTAACAGCAACACTAGTCAGTATGGCACAATCAAAATTAATACAATCGAACTGTTTACCTCAAGAGTTTTTGCACACATAACAAAGGTCACTGGTCCAAGTAGCACCGTCTCAATTCTTGCCAATATTATCGGGTTTCTGCTGAGTAATACGTAGCATCTTAAACCCGGTCCCCGGACTCACATGATGATGATTTGGCAGGAGAAGCTTGGTGCTGGATGCTGAACGACTGCGATTCTTTCCTCGGATCTGTCCAATTTTTGTTGCGTCCGCGTTCGTTTTACCCAATTTGGTTAGTGTTCAACTACCCATGGGGACAACCGACGGCCAGTTCTACCTATGTAATTGTCACCGCGATTGCAGGTGAATTGATAAAACATGTGAGAGGCCGAACTGCCTGATGAGCTGTTCTGACGACTATGTAGAAGAAAGTCTCGTGTGGTGGACATGGCTTGTAACTGGGAGATCGTGTAGTTTCGTGATAGAGCACACTGGAGTTTATGCCCAATATTATTTGCAGTATGGTCCTCCTGGAACGCTAACGACGAATAAGTATTCTAAATGGATCCCGTTAGCATCGACATTTCCTTTTTGGAAGGCGTGTTGTTGAGTTAGACGAACTTCACAGAATACTAACTAGACACTAAGCTCTTCTGGAGACCTTCTTCTATAGATTTAAACATTTTGGGCTGCGAGCGCATCTGACTGTATCGAACAGGCTTTCTATTAGGTGGTATTTGTCTGCGATCGGGGCAAAGCCAGAACAGCACATCTGTTTAATGTGTATACAAAGACAGCACTCTACCGTACTGTTCAACATCATGGGATACCGACGGATTGGAGAGAATCGAATCCAGAATGGTCAATAGCCACGTGAATTATTCGACTGTTGTGCAGACCGAAATGTCACCCACTATCCATCCCTAAGAATCGCCCAAAGCGAAGCCATCGCGCTTTTATTATTGCTGCTCCCTGGAACTCGAACCGTAAGCTTTCTGGGCACAATAGACTCATCTCTATCACACGGTTGAAATTTAAGTCCACAGCCCTAAGCTAGATCAGAACGAAAGCGAACAGCTGATCGACCGTCTTACTTAGAGGCAAGTTTGTGCATCCCGAGTCCGCCTGTATTCAGCACATGAGCTCTGCCTCCAGCGTCAGTTGTTCCAATGTCTTGGCAAATTCAAAGAGTCTTTCAGGCAAATAGTAGCTGTGAGTTCACGCACGTGTTCGAAGAGTTTCTCCCGACGTCGAACAAGTGTAAACACATCGGCGTAGGTGTCATGGTATTTCATAGTGGTTAAAGGAGCAATGGAGGAAAAAGCTCTCACAAGGAAGGGGGACCGAAATGAAATAACTGCACACTCTCCAGCTAGTTCAAAGTGGACGCTTTACTACACACGCTATTGAACAGTGCTACGATGGTTTTAACTATTTTCAATTGGAATTTCCCGATAACACGTACATAGATTAGACATACATGGATTATTTTCCTATTATTAATAAGGAGTAAGAAAGCAGAATATTGCAAAGTTGCAATTATGATGTGGTGTCTAAAACGTGGCAATAAACACGCATAAGGAGAAAACTGCTTGTTCTCAGCTTTGAACCTATAGAAGTGTGGCATCCAGAGTCCCTCACTGTAGGAGAAGACTTGTGTTCATTAACTCACAGTGGCAGCAGCATACGAAGTCCAACCATTGGGACCAGCTATTGATGTGTCTTCTTTTGCAAGCGGCATTCTAGTTCCGTTAGCCAACTGGGATCACCAGATAGTCGAATCGTTCATTGAATCTGGCATTTTCTCCCAGGTGTTTCGACGCTAAACGAGGAATGCTACAGTGTCTCCGTGTGTAACCATTCGCCATCTGGAAATGATGCATGAATCACACATAGAACAGCAGGGCTGAAGCCTGTGAAGTCAAGTCCCTTCTGTGTATGCGACCTCGTCTTGGAAACAGCATCCAGGCAAGGCTTAAGACCGATCACCAAGACTAGGTGTCATGCGACAATAAGGCTGACAAAATAAAATTCGTGGAGCATCTAATACTCCAACAGCGGGGAAGCTATTAGGTAAATCAGTAAGCTGTATGGTAGAGGTCGGTTTTGCATATCTGAAAGATAAGTGTGAAGTCGTTTCAAGTTCTCACCAATACCTTGGTACCTTAATCTTGTGAAGCAGCACTGACACACGACACATTCTCGGTCCGTCTACGTCAGCAAGCAAAACCGCCAAGTCCTTAGACCTTATTTGGCTCGCATAATCTGCGCTGTAAGCTCCGGAAGTGTGGGACAGGAGCTTGGCTGTAAGGTATGGGAGAACAATCCGCGCACAGTTGAATTAAACGGATAGTAGACATGTAAGCACGTGATGGTTCTGTATATTGTGCTTACATATACCAGAAAGACATAGGATGCAATCAGAGCCGGCCGTAGAAGACAAAACGGTTTGCGACGTTCACAAAATACTTTATCCAGTTTCCTAACGCGATATGCCAGAGATAGGGAGTAATATTCTGTAAACAGTCAATACAAGTGTTCAATATTAGTTCTGTTTAATAATCAATATCCATAATGTTATACATAAATCTTGTAGAGCCACACTTCCACATGATACAGATTTGTCCTCTGGTCCTCGCTGTTAACTCATCAACACATACAAATCGACACAGACTCAACGTTTTGTACTAGGTTGACCAAATGATTCCCAGTTCGCACAGGATAGACCCGACATTTATGTGCGAAAAAACAAGCGCATTTTGGGAAATCCTTATACCAGGGGACAGAAATATTAGGAAGAACATGAAAAATGAATTGGAAATCAATATCCACTTCGGTTCCGCCAAACTACATTGCAGTGGTAGATTACTCTTTAATTGGTGTAGCAGCCAATGTAGTCTTACGTCATTTCACATGCTTCCAGGAGCTCATTGCTCTCAAAGCTGACCGCACTGATTTGGAAAGCCTCAAAATTCTCCCTGAGATGTTGGAACGTATACGCACTTTGGAAGAAATTACAAAGGAATTGCTTAAAGAGAAAGAGAAGGTAGTTTCGTTTGGAAATGTGGGTGCTTTCTCACTTCTAACAACCTGTGTTTTCCTGCGAATACACACTGAAGAAATTATGTGCTTTGTGCTCCGTACGCCGGTGATTTGTTTCTCTCACACGCACAACTACGTAGAGTTTGAGTAGTGCGCCTGCCTAACCGCGGTTGCTTTGATGTTCATTTGCACCTGTTTCGCCAGAGGTCAGAATGTTTGGCCTTTTCGACTGTACTGAATACCAGTCAGTTTTTTGTCTGGTTTAACATAACCAAATTTGAAGTTTCTATAGCGTTGAAAAATTTTCCCTAGCTGATGAAAAAGGAGGTGGGTATCCAAGGTAGCAATACAGTACGCCATCTTGGGGACTGAATTCGCCACTACTGAGATCTTTGGTTACGTATGAGTAATTTCAAGTGACGGGGGGCCAGTCCCTCGGCGGTTAACTTTGCCTGAAAAGTCCAAAGAAAGCAGTTTGGACCAATATTGATCGTAATGACGGTAGGTCACTTCAAGGCAAATCGTCGTCCAGTTAGAGGATAAGTATCTCGATCTTTTCACACATTTGGTATCCGAAGGCAGTGTGGCAGGTCACATGACCAAACCGATTTCGTTAATCAGGACCAGCTTCTCCAACTATAATGGACTTTCATAGGTTCCAGCTCCTAGGAGTCATGAACCACGCAAATATCCGCTGTGACATATGTGTAGTTAACGCTAGCTAAATGAGGCAATCCAGATTCTCAAAGCTGAGGGAACTTGGTCGAATGAAGTATATAGTAGAACCTAAAGGCATGAGCAAACTTTGTCGTAATGCTTCAAGGCACAAACCAGGCAAACGCACTTGGTGAACTGGCATACATTTCAAAGCTCTGGACTCTAGCGGTAGGATCTCTTTTATACCTTGTTTGCTCGCTTCTTTTTAAACAAAGCCCACTGAAATGGATGTGGCTCAGTTGGGAAACTATTTGGTTTATTCGACCGGCACTATCTGTAGTTTGGTTGTCCATAAAAGGCTGTTAAATCCAAGCTGGACTCAAAGATTCATTGGGGGGGGGGCAAACATATTTGACTTCCTTTGTTTCTTCTGGCTTACACCTGAATACAATTCACTCTCTTCAATCTGATAAAACCAACTAGTGAGGTTTTCGCTTGTGGTTATTATCACATCAAGCTTTAAATCATGCCCATCTAGATGGTTTGTGCCAACATTCCTTGTTAAATCTACACAAACACCAGTATTTATGAAAGACTGGTCAGTGCGAACTAAAATCTTCTTCGAGATTCAAAAGTAACCAGTTTTGGATTGTTACCAAAAGTTTAGTCCACAGCTACAACCGGCCAAGCGGGCGACCGACTTAGATTAGTTGATGACGACTCACAGAGTAGACAAACAATTCTAAGCCGTTTGGCGATTGAGGTATCTAAATACGGAATATGTTTCGCCCAGTCGAAATGCAAATCCTGCTCCAGGGTTGGCACTCGCCCGTTCCCGGGCTCACTCTTGAACGCACATAGCTTGAACCCATTGACAGCTTTCGTCATTGGGGTAGCTGCGTGTCTGATGGTTGCACTATCAACGAGGAAATCGCTCTCCATATCGCCAAAGCCTGACCTGCGTATGTCAACCTGCAATACTTGTGGCATCTTCTGCATGTATCCGTCTTCGTACAGAGTCCTGTTTACAATGCCACCTTTCGAGCTGTGTTGCTATATAGCTGTGAGGCATGTCCAGTTCGCGTGGATGATATACGCCGGCTCTCGACCCTCGATAATGGGGGCTTGAGTAGGATTGCTCTAGTGCGGTAGCAGCAACGTAATTCCAGTGGTGAAGTCTGTTAAGTGTGGCCTTTAGCCGATGAACGGAACAGAACGCGCACATGTAGTATGGAACCGAGTTGCTAAAAGCATCCTGCGTTACAGTGGCTAGAAGAGCCGGAAAGGAAAACCGTGGAAATATGGAAAGTAAGACAAGGTCATTCTCAACCAATCATGTGAGGGTCTGTGTTTACGAATCAATACTCAAGTGGATACGTGACGAAGTCAGATGTCTTGTCTTAGGGAATGCGAGTATTCCTTTCAATAAGCTTCTATTGCTGTAGTCATGTTCGGCAGAAGTCAGCTGAACACTTACCCCACTGCTCCCTTTATTTAGTGTCTTACCTGGCTAGAACTGACCACGCGGTGGTCAACCATCTAGTTAACATCACCATATGGAATTGTTGACTTCACGTCATACTGCCGTTGAATCCACATGTCTACCTGGTTGGGGACCAGAGCACGAGGAGTGCCGATGGCTGAGAACACATCGGGATATGGTGCGCCATCGAAACCTGTTGAAGATCTGTGTACATACTTGTCTTGATTCAGATGCTTAACGCCAAAACATTAAACACAAATGGAACACAAAAAGTGGCTTGTGAAAAACAAGGAAATAAATGCTCCGTTCTTCTTGCAGCACAGTAGTTGAATTGTGCTGTTCATCTTTAACGAAGGTGCCGAAATGATGAGGATTCGGTAAATCTACCTGTCATCCGCTGATTTCCATGGTCTCGTTTAACTCTGTCTATTTCTTATATGCTGATATACATATACATCCTTGTGCACATTAATTGAAACAAACTACGATTATGTCTCTTTTTCTGTGAATATCATGTTTTTATACATGAAAGCTGCCCTTTTGGCATTTATTGTTTTTTTATCTTGGGAATAGATATTTCATCATTGTTTATGAATTAGACGATGTAACAACTGCGCATGTCTAGTCGTTACAACACCCAAGATTGCGTCATACTTTTTATGGTTAGTAAGGTTTTTATTTCAACTTCTTGTTTTTTGTGATTCAGTCATTGTTTGAGATAGACGTGACTCCCAGAAGGCGCATGAAGATCGTGACCTTGCACGAACACACAGACAAGACCTACAGGGACATAGCAAGAATAGTAGGCGTCAGTCCGGCAACCGTCAGCCGTGTGGTCAAAAAGAAAAAGGAAACGGGATGCATTTCGCCCAACCGCAAATGGAAATGTGGTCTTAAGAGGAAAACCACTGCCAGGGATGAGGTTTACCTAATACGGGAAAGTGTTAAAGATCCTCGAAAGACTAGTGACGCATTAAAATGTGATTTGGGGGAGAAAGGAATAGAAATCAGTTCTTCAACGGTTCGCAGGCGACTCCTGGAAGTTGGTCGGAAAGCCAGACGGCCTGTAAAAAACAACTTCTGACAAAATTAATGAAACTTAAGCGTTACAAATGGGAAATGAAATACAAAAACTGGACAAAAGAAGATTGGAGAAAAGTCGTAATCAGCGATGGAAGCCATTTCTATGTTCATGGTCAGAGCAGTCAGTATGTTCGGAGGTCAGAGGGAGAAAAGGTTCGTGATTTCCACATTGACCACTTTGTGAAACACCCACAAAAGCAGCTGTTTTGGGGGTGCTTTAGTTATTATGGCGTCGGCGCCTTGCATCCAGTCCAGGGCATGATGCGCTCTCCACAATATATAAAAGTTCTCCAAATAAGAGCTGTTCCAGAACAAAAAAAGACATTTCCTGACGGATTTCCTGACGTATTTCAACATCATGGGTCCCTGTACCAAACTTGAATTAAAGCTTGAATAAGTTTCTCCTTTGTCGTACAGTCCATGCCACGAAGGCGTTGCTTGCAAATAGACCAGATATTTTCAATGGGGTTTAAATCTGGTGAATTCCCAGGCCAGTCCAAGATGGTTATTTGATTAGTATTGAAAAAGTCTTGACCATTTTTGATGTGTGGCACGGGACCAGATCCCGTTGAAGAACTGATTTCTATTCCTTTCTCCCCCAAATCACATTTTAATGCGTCACTAGTCTTTCGAGGATCTTTAACACTTTCCCGTATTAGGTAAACCTCATCCCTGGCAGTGGTTTTCCTCTTAAGACCACATTTCCATTTGCGGTTGGGCGAAATGCATCCCGTTTCCTTTTTCTTTTTGACCACACGGCTGACGGTTGCCGGACTGACGCCTACTATTCTTGCTATGTCCCTGTAGGTCTTGTCTGTGTGTTCGTGCAAGGTCACGATCTTCATGCGCCTTCTGGGAGTCACGTCTATCTCAAACAATGACTGAATCACAAAAAACAAGAAGTTGAAATAAAAACCTTGCTAACCATAAAAAGTATGACGCAATCTTGGGTGATGTAACGACTAGACATGCGCAGTGGTTACATCGTCTAATTCACAAACAATGATGAAATATCTATTCCCAAGATAAAAAAACAATAAATGCCAAAAGGGCAGCTTTCATGTATAAAAACATGATATTCATAGAAAAAGAGACACAATCGTAGTTTGTTTCAATTAATGTGCACAAGGATATATATATATATATATATATATATATATATATATATTGGAACCAGCTACACGATGAATTCAATGGTCCAATATCTTGAATCCCAAACTAAGTGCATTGCAAATTCTGACCGGTTTCAAACAAACGCATATCAGCTCTAGCTAGTCTAACTCGAATGGGTTGAACTTATGCACACATCCGTGGATTGATCCAGCCGAGGCCTGAACTTGTTGTAATCAATCATAACATCAGACCATTAAAACAACTTTTTGGAAAGTGAACTGAGCTGTCAGTCGGCATGATCAGGGATCCAAGTGTATTTCGCCGCATTTGCATGAAGATCTCAACGAAATAGTGCATTGCAAGCACAGAAGAACAAGTGGAAAATGTGATAATATTGGTTTTGTTCCTCCTATACTGTCGCAGATAAGGCCTTTCTTCCCATCTCAGTTCGGCGGTGGGTTCTTGGTTTTACAATGGATAACAGATGAGTGGAAGTGGTATACAAGGCAGTTGTTACATGTTGTGTTCGCTGGAGAGCCCAACCCGAGTCGGTCGGACCCATGTTCCCACAACTCAGCTTCGGGTTTCCCAATGTCCAAGAAACCATATACTAATTTTTGTACTCTTGCATACTTAAAACATCAGTGTGGTAACGATGCGTATCCTTAGTTTCGGATACATGCGCCGTGTTACGTGGTTTCTTTATTCCCCACAAACTCTTCGATTCACCTCGGTGTCCATGTGTGCTAACCAGTCCAGTTTCGTCGCATAGTGTTTCGCAAATATTTGTACATAGTGGTTGGAAAGGAATGATTACGGTGGTTGACACACTTCTTAAGATGAAAGGAATTTGCTCATCACTTTATCCGTTTTAAGACCATTCTTCTGCCACCCGTGAACTTTCTCTTGTACTTTTCGTTATTACCAGAAGCTTCTTCACCACCGGTATACTAACTTTTCACCCATCCGCTCACTTTGCTCCGTTTAGTTGCTTGACACTAACCCGTATTGCTTACAGGCTTCAATCCCCATTTATGAGCAGTCATCAACTTTTTCAGGTTTACGTGGATTGTGGTACGAGTCCTCACATGCCATTCCCAGAAGACGTAAGTACTCTGAGATGGGTTTTGTGTTCATTTTGCCTTGAGTTTTGTTAATGTATACCAAAATTCCGTGTCATGAAATATTCGTTTAATGCCTTGAAGATAGCAGGTAACGATTGCGAAATTTCCAGGCTGACCGTGTACGTGTCTGGCCAATCGTTCCATTGATGTGGGTACATTTTTATTGTGACCGCCTCAGATAGCCCATTGCAAGGAAGTCTTTTCAGTCATTATTGACGATGGTAACAAACCGAATGTCCTTGTTCAGTGAACAATGCGTTTTGAAAAAAGAAAGTGCCATCTTACCTTCAAATAAGAAGTTCAGAAAGTGTGACCTAGAATATTTCGCAAGGACATGTCAGCCAAATTCGTTTTGTATTCCTGGATTAAGTAACTTGAAAATTCCCATTTAAGTCTCTAGAACGAAAGTGCGTGTTTTCAACGGAACCACTCATTCGCTCACAAAACAAGGACAAGATGCCGATGCTGACCACCTCAATGGTAATTTATCAATTCGTATGCGCCTGTGGCGCGAGTATACTGGTTGAACGGCGCGGCAGTTATCTAAACGCGTGAACGAACATTGCCCTCGTTGGCTGCGTCAAGGGGGCGCCGGGACCATTAATAGCACCATTCTGACCCACATTGGTGGATTGGAAACGCGCTTTCGGAACAGTTTACATGGTTCCGACGCACCGAACAAAAGGTTACCGCCTTCGGATGCTTGCGACAGTTGAAGCAAAATGCATTCGTTTGTTCCAATCGTCCTTATGCTAACAGAAGAAGCTGGTCCAAGCTCTCCAGCTTCCCTGGCCAGCGAAGAGGGAAGACGCCCAGATCGACTGCCTTCGATCAGACGCGGTAGCAAACAACTAGCCCTCTAAGACCTTATTCGTTTTCTCCACTCTGACGTAAACCTTCACGTGAGCAACTCGTTTTGAACTAACGGGTCGATTTTTATTTTTAGCCTCCATATGTTTGTAATGGTCTGATGATTAATCACTGAAAGCACTTGCTCACCAGATGGTCGTTCGTTCTAGATTCCTGGATTAAACAGTCAATACGCTTCTCGATACTCGAATAGCATAATAAGCCGACGAATGTTGCAAGAGGATACCATATAGTGCCCTCTGTTCATTTGCAAACGGACAACAAGTCAACTGATAACGTAACAGAAAAGAACTCAATAAATTGAAAGCAGGAGGTCACTTGCAAGCGAAGTAGACAGTGGCCACAGGCTGATGAGGAATGATTAACTACAAGGGATTTTGAGAGTAACGAACAGTTGCTTCTGGACGCACAATGTTGAACAACGCATTTTTATGACCACTGCCTCGGCAAACTTGGGGACTCTGACACTTGTGTTACAATAGTTGACACTAAAGCCCGAGATGGGGTCCACCTGATGACCCGTCTCCATCAAATGTTTCGCAATCGAAGAGGCAGGTATGTAGTTCGTCGACAGTGGTCCCGTTTGCGGCCGCCTTGTCGAGGTACCGATACGCATCTGAATATGCTCCCCAATCCGCTTACACAAGCACCGGTCTGTTGTGCCGATGGACCTACTCCCACAGTTACAAACAAATCGATAGTTACAGTGCGTTGTGGCGGAGACCGGCTTAGTAGGTTTGACTGTGGCAGTGGTACTCACCGATCACTTCGCTTGTATATGACCTCCCGCTTTCAACTTATTGATTTCTTTTTTGTCACGTTATCATTGGTATGTTGTCCGTTTGTAAGTGAACAGAGGGCACGAAGCACTACCAGGCTGCAACATTCGCTTGTTTATTGTGCTATTCAAGTTAATCCAGGCAACTCAGTGCTTCAAATTTTTACGACAAAGACTCCCGACTGAAACGATCAGAGTTCTTGTTGGATTGATAACCTTAAAGTGCAAGATTGTCTCGGAGAATATGCGCATTCCTTGTCTCCGTGCGTGTAAGCGAAACGTTAGGTAGCCTCGACAGTTTTGTAAATTGCTGCGGAGGAATAAGATGAGGCCAACGCTCACAAACCTAAGTCGGCTTGCCAATTCAAACTTGGAGGATGCCAACAGAATACTATCACAGTTGTTGTAAATGAACGTCGTACGTCCACTGTTGATGGTTTGCCTTCAGTCTATCGAATCAAGTACATGAACTTTTGTTAAAGTGTCATTGATAGAACGAAAAGAAAGCTGGCTAATCAGCAACCTAGATCTCTCCAAAATGAAGAGAAAATACCTTTCCATGGCGATTTGCGAAAACCTGTGCATACTCTTTCTTTGGGTTCATTGAATAGGAAACAACGCAAAGCTCTATCATTGGGTGTACAGTCCAAAATCCCCCTCAAAAAAGCAATGCATTCAGGTTGCGGCCCAATTTAAAATCCTAATTGATCAAGTCTCTAAGCTAAAACCAACACCTCTAGAGAATTCTGGCTGGTGCAAATTAACCTACTTGACATCGCAAGTTGTTTCGTGCTGGCTCCGATTTGTCAGTCCCGCTGTCTGGATAGTAATCACATTAAAATGCTACGTGATTGGAGCACCAAAGACTTCATGGTGTTGAAACCGAACAATGGTACTGACATGGTCATCATGGATAAATCGGATTATAAAAACAAGATTGAAGCGATTCTGAAGGACAAGTCAAAATTTCATGGGGACGAAAGTGCAACCAACATTCCACAAATAAAGTAGAGGATAACCAAACATCTGAAAATATTACTGTTTAACGAGATGACAGCACAGATGACACACAACGCTCTTAAGCCGTTGAGCACCGACATCCCCCAGATGTATGATCTACTCAAGATTCATAAAGAACGATATTATCCATGCGTGACTCACCGTACCCCAAGCTAACATGTTAGCTAATTAAACTACTGATCCCCGTTAGAAACATGATTTTATAGCACACCTTAAAGGTACCTTTGAGTTAATTGAACAGTTACGCAGAATTAACATTTCCGACAAGGTGATGTGTCCCGTGGTTGAATAATCCTTGGTTACCAACATTCCTCTGAGAGAAACAGTGGATTTATTATGTCACTTTGTCACTAGTGAGAAAGTGCCTCTGCCAATTCCTGTAGAGTATCTCAAGGATTTGTTGCTACTCTGCACGCAAAACGTGTCCTTTATGTTCGAGGGACAGGCATATTGACGGGTTGATGACGTGGCTATGTGGACTCCCCTTTGCCCTCTGTCGACGGACATATCCATGGCGATGGTCGAGTCGTGTTGTCAGCCAGACCTCGGACGAATGTGCCTTTACAAGAGGTACATGGACGACATATAGGTGAACTCACCATTCTTAGAGGCGGCTCAGTCCCTTCTCAGAGTTTTGTGCTTTGCGCACCCAACTTCTCGCTTCACCTGTGAAGTCGAGGATGATAATCGCCTGTTATTTCTGGATGCACTAGTGACGAGGTGAGAAGATGACACCCGTAAAGCGCACCGTTTACCGCAAAGCTACTGGACTAGTTTGAATGAACACTTCAGCAGCTTTACACCGGGTCAATACAAACGATGTCTTGTCAAAAGTTTGTTCAATTAGGTCAGCAGGATATGCAGTATGGAGCGCAGCGAGGCTGAATTATAATTCATCACGTAGACCCTACAGGTAAATGACTACCCAGAAGCCTTTATTATATTTTCTGGCCTCACCACGGAAAGTGAACACCCGGTCGTTCTTACTGTAGCAAAAATGCCAGTTTATCAGCGAATACCATTCAAAGTCGATGTACTGGTTAGGTAGGTAGAACGACGCACAGCAGTTGCAATACGACGTGAATTCGGTGCCGCTAAATTCTGTCCTCTCTGGACAACCAAGAAGCTACCACTGCCCCCAGCCAAGCCTACTAAGCCGGTCTCCGCCACAACGCACTGTATCTATCGATTTGTTTGTAACTGTGGAAGCAGGTCCATCGGCAGAACAGACCGGTGCTTGTGTAAGCGGATTGGGGAGCATATTCAGATGCGTATCGGTACCTTGACAAGGCGGCCGCAAACGGGACCAGTGTCGACGAACTACATACTTGCCTCTTCGATTGCGAAACATCTGATGGAGACGGGTCATCAGGTGGACCCCAACTTGGCGTTTAGTGTCATCCATCGTAACACAAGAGCCAGAGTTTGCCGAGACAGTGATCATAAAAATGCGTTGTCCAAAATTGTGCGTCCAGAGGCAACTGTTCGTTACTCTCAAACTCCCTTGTAGTTAATCATGCTTCCTCAACGTGTAGCCACCATCTACTTCGCTTACAAATGACCTCCTGCTTTCAATTTATTGAGTTCTTTTCTGGTACGTTATCAGTTGACTTATTGTCTGTTCGCAAATGAACAAAAGGCATTAAATAGTATCCGCTTGCAGCATTCGTCTGGTTATTTTACTATTCAAGTTAATACAGGGCTCTCAATTCCTCCAGCTTCTCAATAGGTTCGGAATCGCTATCGATCGATTGTGCACGGACAGTGGTGACTGCCTTCGCTCGATTACTGTAATCTCAAATAGCTGGTGAATGTTAAACTTTATGCAGATTGAGAGATTGGGACGTGTTGGGGTTGACCTGGTAACTAGTGTTCACGACTCGGTTCATGGATTTTGAAAATTCCTTCTTCTCTGCTCCTTTGATTTCATTCGTCATGATTCCAGTTGCCTGTATGTGCACGTTGGAATATGCCTGTTGATCGCTGCACTCAACATATCTGTTTCAACAGCTATTGCCGAATTTGTCTTGGCAGTTGAACAATCCTGGCCTCATGCACACATTTCATCGTACTTCATGTTAAGTGTTCATGGTTCTCATCACCTGTTCACGGATTTGCTTGTCACAACAACCTCAATTGGGACTGCCACAGCACTCCTGCGCCTACAGAGGGACCATGGGTGTCTTGTGCTGCGCTACCCACAGCTCCATTCACCCACTCCATATCCAGTGTAAACCCGAAGGAATAAAACCGGGAGGGATGTGGATGGGAGACACGTCTCAGCAATGAATCCGGTCCACACTTCTTCAGTGTGCAAAGCAGCAACATTTCTGTGGGAAGCATGAGTATAAGATATACGCAAGGCAGTGTCTGTTTCGCAGCCCGTTTCACACTGGATGGAATCACTATTTGAGTCTGCCTTTATCATGAATAAGGAGCTTCGTCTCAAAGAACAAGGATTAACTGTTTCTAGGAACGCGCAATCGACGTGGCGGTTTTCGACAGATGAACACTCGGTCAACTATCGCCTCGAACGCAGCTTAACTGTGGATATTAACTAGCAGACATTTAACATGCGAGAAAGTAAGCACACAGGAACAGTTAAAGACTCATAGAAGCGATAGTATAGCACACGCGCCACATTCGCAACAATATTTGTCTAGATTCTTGTATCGATTGGAAAGTAGCAGATTTACCATGCGCTGACGTTTATTCACTCAAATTACTCGTCTCCCTTTATATATGGGCCCTTAGCGATTACCTTGATAACTAATTAGACCGGTTCTGCTGGGGCATACACTATGCACGGGCTAAAATCCCATGTGATTGACGTCGCTTGACTTGGCTCCATCGGCTCCTGCCACTTCGATAACCTGTGTTTGTGTTCCAGAACCAGTAGCCCTTTCTCGGGAAACTTAAAAACCACATTTTTGATCTGGTTGCACCATTGGCTTCGATCCACTCCCATTGGTGCTACCATGAAATAATGTTGACTTTATGCCGTTCCTGTTGGACAGTACCTCGTAGAGAATGTGCGGCTATTCGTCAGATCCTGTGCAGATATGTTACAATCGATGGTTTTGAAGCGCTTTGGCCAATTTGACACAGATCAACCTAGTGTTGTTTAGTTACTTTAGACACCGGTTTACGCTCCACCTTGTATCTGGATGATAATGTGCGTTGTCGTCCAACCCATCTGTTTAAACTAACCTACGCTACATCCCTACAGGGGTCACCAAATGTTCAGACTCACGAATCCGTAAGTTCCCTGGCGAACCCACCTGTTCCCGAGTTGTTTCCACCATATATAACGTGAACACCGACTTTGCACTCAAATACAGAGGAACTGCACTAACCACATCTCCGTCTATTCACTGTGATAATCGATTGTATATATCGACATCGTTGGAGTTACGATGGACTCACTCGAGGACCGGAGTCATTGTTTTTGCACCAAACTGCTTTTCACCGCTCTCATTGCACCTCATTTTTGTCAGTATACCATCTCTTCCCAGCACCTTCTCTTACTGCATATCCTACTCAGTGGATAGATTTATAAACACAAAGGACGTGCGTGTTCAAACTGAGACTCCTCTACAGTTGAAATCGATTGTGGCGGACTAAGTTGTGTAAAAACGTGGCTGGAAAATAATGAACCGCATAGGGACTTTAAGTGCTCGTGGGTGAAGAATAGTATACAACGACACTGTCCTCCTTGTTGATCTTGTCATGTTGCCTCCGTACTTGCCACAGCACCTTTCACCAAATTGCACAAACCACATATTTACCGAATTTGTAATTGCATCTCTGGGCACTTCCACGTTATGCTGCACATTGCTATGCTCATTGCATCGAGCACCAAACCCAAGGGAAAGCATATTACAGCCTAACCATTTTTGGCTGGGACACGGTTATATCAATTAACCCTGCACACGTCCTTATAAGAACGCCCGTATCTTCCAACCGTCTCTGCCTTGAGCTTGAGGTCTGCTTGTATTTTGCTTGTTGATTGGATAGTACGGTTCACCAGATTAGTTAGCTGCTCAATTGATCACACAAGACCTTTTCTATTGGTCCATCCACTCTTGTGATCTGAAGCCGCGCGCTTGGGCGTTTTTCCACATGTGGCCACCGGACAAAAGCGCCTAAGAACTTTGGAAAACTACTCGGTGAACCATCGCATCGAAGGCAGCTTGACCGGGGATATTAACTAGCACTCATAACATGCGAGAAAAGAAGCACACAGGAACAGTTAAAGACTCACAGAAGCGATAGTATAGCACACGCAGCACATTCCCCACATTATTGGCCTAGATTCTTGTATCGATTCGAAAGTAGCAAATTTACCATGCGCTGACATTTATTCATTCAAATTACACAGTTCATCGAAGAGACTATCAGTCGAGCAGTTTGAGACAAATCTGGTATATGGGTCTTTCGCTTGGTTTGATACTAAAATAGAAGGTACCGTAGCAGTATATGGGGGAAAACTTATAGTTCTCCAAGCTCCATTTAATGTGAACCGCAGGATGCCTAAATAAGAACTATGGCTAATGCCATCTCCTTTTTCGTCTAGTAACGTTTTAAAACAATTTTCTTCTTTTCGGAATTTCAACAAAATGATCAGAAAAAGGACGCGGATCCCGGAATACGTTTAGTTGTAGTGCATCAATCTCATTCCACTCGCCGGATACACTTGAAATACGTAGCAACACAAGTCGCCCGGTGCAAACCCGAGCACTAGAGGATTTACCTCAATGGGCCCAAGTTGCGTTCAATCAACTTTCCCTCCAATAGTGTGCACCCGCATAAGCCGTCGGTATCAGCTCAAGATGCATTTTGTTCGACGATGCGCCATGAGCATTAGATATTCTTGGTATTTCGTTAGTGGTTTATCGACGTATACTGACTAGCTGTACTGCACCGGCTCCGTGTCTAAAATCCCTCCTGCTACTCTCCATCTACCAGTAAGCGCCCGTGTTAGCTTAAAATGTCATAAGATGCTTGGTGACTTAGCGACAAAAGTCGTGACTCTGGGGCCAACCCTACGCTCTGTACTTTCACAAGATAATGAGAGCGGTAGACGGACAGGACTAAGTCACAATCAGTAGTCACTCTCGTAGTCGTACGTCTACAATCATGTCTCAGCTGCTTAGACTGCTGGCTCATAATTGCAAGGTTATGCATCCTAATCTCGTGGAATAAGTTGGCTTCGCGCTGCTTACAAAGCGCAGCGGGGTGAAACGGCCGCCTAGTACGTTTTTGGATGTGTGGTAGTTGTTTGACTAAGATCGGCTGCATCGTGCCCTCTCGGAAGCAATTGGTTGTCAGCATTTCGTTGCAATAGTCAAACGACCATCCCAATCACGGACTACCCTAAATGCGATTCTTTGACTATACGCTCCGCCATTTGTAGCAACTAACTCAGATTATTGTAGTGGTACTGGCGCCAAATATCTGCTAAAGTTATTTCTTATCCTGTCCAAATGATTGGCTCTCGATAGCTTTGGTGTAATCTCTTTAACCCTCTAAACATTCCCTAACTAACCATTGAGAGCCTAGGCTATTCTAGTAGCCAATAAACACGATTACTTCTACAGTTGCTGTCGATTGTACAGGGTAACGGAAGGCCTTTCATATTAAATCGTTGCTATTAGAGGCAGCCAGCTCACCGCTGCGTGTGGCTTCCACACGAGTTGACTAGCTGAGCGGAATGCAGTTTTGATCTTGGAACACGGGTCGACAACTAAATAGGCGATGCACCAGAGTAAAGTTACACACGAACCCAAACGTGAACTCCACCAGCCGTATCCAGCACAAGAGAGAGAAGGATAATCTTCAGTTCAGGGAATTCTACTGGCTCATCACAGTTCATCTGGTTCTGTGAGAAGTGAATGATGGTCGAGGCGAGTTTCAGTGGCAACCTAATTTTTCACCCAGCAACACGGCACCACATTCACGACTTGCGGCTTAGCGACTGTGCACGAACATGTGACTTGCTGTGGAGCAAAAACGCATGCTTAGTTGCGGGCAATATTAGATCGGTTCTGGAGAAATATGCAGGTTTCACAATGCCTGCAACGTTACTTAAGTGCAGTAGTATTGCTGAGTTACACAAACGGTCAGTCCACTCGCACAAATGGAGGCAGACCTCATATCTATCGTCATTTTTCCAACGATATGAAGCTAAACAAAAAAGGACCCGTCGAACTGGCAAAAAATATCTTTCGCACAAACCAGTATGTTCTCATTATCGAAAGCCAGTTGGCGTAGCGCCCTGATGATAATGAACCACTGCACTGAGTAATCTTGGCATTAATCATGTCGAAGAAAGTAGAATCCAAGCTTAAACTTTGCACAATTATCTGCCTCGACGGGGAATCGAACCCCGGACACACGGCCTGCTGGTCCTCTGCGCTACCATCGGGTAGTGACAAGTGAGAGAGCCAGTCTGCAACACCAGGACAGATACTGTGAGCTTATTGGCAATACGTCGAGAACCAAGCAAAAGTTATGTATTAAATTGCGCACCTCATCGTCAGTTCTCGGTAGCTCAGTTGAAAGACTATTGTGCAGTTTACTCGTGGCTTTTAATTTCTACGAACATTACACTACTCACAAAAACCACCAGTAGTTAACCTTGTCATGAAAAATAGCTAGGTAAACGTGCCACCCTTACTTTAAAATGTGACAATGGACGTCCACAAAGTCCGCCACTTAGGTTATCTGGTGAGGTCGAATCTTCCAAACTCAGTGAAACAGCTGTACAACATCATTCACTGTTATTTTGCTTGTTTAACTTATCATCTTCCCTAACATTTTGGATACGCTTTGATTTTCTCACAGAACACCAAACTGGTCAAAAGCTTGCAGGAGAACGTTGTTGTACTGCAGGAGCAGATAAACATGCTCAACGAACAACTCCGTGCCCTTCGGTCAGGAGTCGAAAAAGCACAGTCAGATATTTCGGTGGGTCAGCACACATTTGATAAGAAATCCTTATATTCGTTAAAATTATCAAGCACATTTGCCTTCAGACTACTACGAGAAATCATTTAGTAAGGAAAACTGAGTAGGGCGGAGCGAATGAAGTTAGCAAATTAGAGGGAGCCTCGGATATTAGCGATCACAGAAACATATCACGTAATGTCTTTGCCTATCCCGTGGTACATGGATAAGTAAATTATTTTTAGAGCACACAGAAGCATTGTATAGTGAACAAGCTTATTTTCCCATCTTGTGATTGTGAGAACTTGTAATTGACAAGTACTGCTTATGAGGATATGTGGAAGCGAGTAGAAATATTAATGATACCTAGGAGTAGTGAGGATTTTGGCATAATCCAGCTAATTGATAATCGTCACTCCCAATCAGCAGGCTTAGGCTAGTCTGGAGAAGCACCAGACGCCGGCGTTTCGACCTTTTGGGTCTCGTCAGTGGTGCGCCTCCCAGCGGAACCCTGCCGGATTTCGCCCCCATGACTTCAGGATGCCAGCAGCTAGTACCACTTCGCCATGGGTGACAGCTGCGGACCTACATGATTGACAGTTGACTATGATATAGCCCCGCTCATCTTCCACTGCCATGCCAGTTACGAACTGTGCAGAGGACAATGGCCAGCCTCAGGAGCTAGGACTTTCCGAATGGCGTAAGTAAGAATACTTAGCGCAAAAACATCAATTGGTTCTACAATATAAAGTAGAGAAGTTGCATCATGTGGTAACGTGTTCCATTCACTTCCGCATACTCCCTCTGTGTATGGTAGTCTTATGATGATAAGCTCGTGAATCAACTGCATTTTGAACCAGCTCTATTCCTTCATCCAATCTGAAAATATATTTACCGGATCTAACCAACTCACGAGCGTGATGCTAAATCCGGACTCAGGGCTTAAATTTAAGCAGCATTTACCGAGTGATATGTCGGTGGTTGGAAATCATATGACCACTGCCATAGCTGCAATTGTAACGTAAGTTAAAAATCTTTTCCGCATTTAGTTGCGTCGGACGTTGGGTGTGAAAACAAGTGCTGGGATACCCACAACAGATGACTTGACGATACATGGCTACAACAACTGACTTCCATTAAAAACTTACCCCCTAATAAAAAACAATATTCCGATTGAGGTAACACTTTACTGGGTCCACCGGCAAATGAATCGATCCTAGCGTTTGTGAACTGGTTTGATGGGCAACCGTTACTATCTCTGTGTTTGCCTCAATTTCTGCTACTGCAGGAAATAGTAAGCGGCGTTTCTGCGTAAAGTTACAGTCAAATCATAATAAGCTTTTCCGAACCTTAATGGGTTCATTATCAGCAAGTGCCTTACACACTGGATGACAATATCAGCATAATATACATACTTAGATAAGGCAAGATAGCATTACGATCCCATGAAGTATGGGAGAATACAATATTGAGCTTCGAGAACGCAGGAAAAATAGAGCGTTTTTGGATGAACACCGTGCAGTTGATGAAATCGGGCAGTTAGCAACATAGAAGAAAACTTATTGCAGGCATCATGATGTCTAGAAGTGATCAGACCAAATAAAGAATCGCTAGACATATCGCAGCAAATAAAACTGTGCTTTATATTCGTATAAGTAAGATGCAGTCTTTCCGAAGCAATCCAGAGAAGATAACAGGACAGCAGTATAACCAATGGGGAATAATGCAAGAGGCGGCAAAAGTTAAATCTTAAAGTAGGGGGTACTGACAGCACCTTAGGTCGGAGGGCACAGAAAGTGAGTTTTCCTATTTTGTGCTAAGTTTCGCAGATATTGTTTAACTAAGAAGGATTCTGGGACAAAAGGTTACCGTGATCCTTGATCGTGGATTGCCTGGGTTTGGAATTCTATGCTAGCCATTAATGACAGCAGAGTGCGCAACATTTTCAAAACGGTTGGCCAAACAAAGAGCAATAACACTATAGATGTGATCTCACTAACTTCGGAACATCACAGCGATGCACTTCTAGGAAGTTCATCCGCTTGTACCGTCTCACGTGTCAAAGGTAATGTAGGTGTATATGTGTGTCGACCGGTGGCCGAGTGGTCTGCACGCTTGGGTTGCAATCATAAGGTCATCAGTTCGAATTCGCATAGTGGCGAGCGACCAACCTTTTTATACACAGCCCACTCGCGACAGGTGGTGGTCGCGCGGCAGCGAAGCGCCGTCACAGCGTCCAGCTAACTTAACGTGCTATTTTTTCAGGTACATACACCGGATGGTACCGATGTCTCTAGGTTGAGCTTATATTAACCCATCAGCACTTGAAAAGTCCACAAACGATTACGCCATCTATAATTTGGCATCAACATCAACCTTAGCAGCTGCCAGATGGATCCTTTCACACTGTGTAGTTGGTTTGAATGTTGCCAAACTTTTCTATCCCACAAGAAATTACCAGCCAACTTATCTAATATTGGCGCGCATATTGTTCCGGTCCAAAAATTGGACTTCGCAGTGACTTAGGTTTTCGGCGCTACATACTCTGACCCATCAACTTTGTGAGACGGCTTGAGGAAGGTAAAAGTTACGCTCGACCCTCACAAGCTCCAAGTGGAATGAATAACCTTTAGGTGTACGTGAGTAATATGAAGAGTTTGTAACAGTATCGTCTACTCTCACGGTAGAGTTTATTGACGAACAAATGATTCTCCATCTCGGATGGCAGTTGAACTGTTCGCTGAGCTTGGCAATTTTGTTTCAAACGCAGTAACAACATTCCGACAAACAAGCGATGTTACCGTTTCAATCAGAAATCGTGTTAGATCATCAAGTATCGCCGAGAAGTCCAGCTATGGACCATTGAAGATACGTCGAAAGGCGCTAGAGTCAACCACCATGGCTGCTGTCGCTAGAAGCGGGAAAATGATTAACCGCCGTAACCCTTTCAAACCGTTTCGTATAATGATTTCTAAAGGCAGTTGAACTGTGCGCTGAGCTTGGCAATTTGGTTACAAACGTTTCGTCACCAATCGTGGTGACATCATCAGTGCGTAGCTGAGTTGAGTGCAGTAGCGTAGAATAGCGTAGAGGAGCCTCGGTGAGAGTGCGCTGAGCGTGGTGTGTGTGTGTGATGTGCGTGCGTTTTTATACCGCCCTTGGTCGCCCCTGGAGACCAGCAATCCCATTGGCTAGGACTTCGATCCGCGTTCAGCCTAAGTTGATCGGCAGATGACATTTGATCTTGACCCCTTGTATTTCGTGTCTTTGTCTGCTTGCTCTTGTGGGCGAGTCTGTCGTCAGTTCTGGTTATCTATACCATTTTCCATTGAAGTTGGACATTCGGGCAAAACATTTACGCCTGGGGGTCAACGGGGTTGCTCCTCCGGCGCAATCAAGTTGAGTCTTCGCTATGCGGAATAGAACCACTCACTGGCATGGTAGGGGCTGTTTCATTGACAAAGCGCCTGAGGTCCTATTTGCTGAAGGCGCTTGGCCAATGAAACAGCCCCTACCATGCCAGTGAGTGGTTCTATTCCGCATAGCGAAGGCTCAACTTGATTGCCCCGGAGGAGCAACCCCGTTGACCCCCAGGCGTAAATGTTTTGCCCGAATGTCCAACTTCAATGGAAAATGGTATAGTCACAAGTTCCCTCGGATTCACTCGATCGAGTTGTCGGTCGTTCGCCGGTAGTGTTGCGTATACTGCGTCCAGTTGGATGTGTCGATGGATTGAAATCGTTGTAGACTACCAGGCTTCCGAAAACTCCCCCGCGTGATTTGTACTTCCATGTGTTAGGATCTTTACATTCTCCAGATCGAAATGGTGGCCTTCTTGATGTTGATGCGAAGAAATCAATGAGTGCGGATCATGCCTTCAAACGGCCGCATTATGTTCAGTGATTTGTGTTCAAAGATTTCTTCCAGTTTGTCCGACGTAGTTTTTATTGCAGTCACTGCATTTTATCTGGTAGATGAAATTGCATCGGTCCGCTTGACTGACATTTTCTTTGGGTCTTCAGTTCAATTTCCTTAGGGTGGCACTTGGTTTGTGGGCCACAGAGATTCCGTGTGACCGCACCAATCCTCCTGGGAGTTCGGAGACGTCCTTGATGCAGGGGAACACCATTCATTTATTTGCTTGCTCAGGTGACTGCTCCTGCTGTTGCTAACATTCGTTTCTTTAAGCTCCTTTTGCTGAAATTTCTCGGATAACCGTTGTTCCTAAACACTCGCTATAGGTGATTTTCTTCCTGTTTCCGCGATTCGGCTGTGCTGGATTGCATTTCCGCTCTTTTGAACAGGGTTTGAATGTATCTCTTCTTATGATTCATCGGGTGGTTGCTGTGGCAGTCTAAGATCTGGTCTGTATGTGTCTTCTTCCGATATACGCGCGTTTTCAGAGATCTGTCGGTATTCCTAGTGACCAGTATATCCAAAAAATAGCAACTTGTTTTCCTCCTCTAATTCAAGTGTAAATTTGATATCCTCAAATGTTTTGTTGATGAACTCGTGCGTGGACTGTACACTGTTCCGTTTTACGATGACAAATGTGTCGTCCACGTATCGTATCCAGTGTTTTGGACTGATCGATGGCAGGGCAATGCATCCCAATTTCTGCATTACGGCTTCTGCAATGAGCGCCGAAATTGGGGATCCCATGGGTGTTCCTCTCCGTTGCTGGAAATAAGTGGCCATGCAGAGGTTCATGATTTCCCAAAAGCTCTCACTATCTTATGGGTTGTATTAGCTTAGCCGTCTTTTAACTGCAATGAACAATTGTTTCCTTGTTCAAGCGCGAATTTTGCATCGTTGTCAGTTTTACTGCTAGACACTGTAGTTTTCAAATGGCTGCAGCGGACATACCAAAAGAACCGGTTTCGAATAACCGTCACCTCAATCTAAAGTGATCAAATATCGTTGAATCGTGTTTTAGGGCGCGTAAATCCTAATGTTCGGACCCAGTAATCGCATTGACTAATGGTCAGTTCAATGTGAATCATCGTCTAAATTGAGACAGC